GACAAGAGCATGTTCTCCAGCAGTTGCATGCTTTTGCATCAGCTCAAGGAACTGCTTCTGTACATCCCTTTTCTTCTGAGCTTTGTCCTCACAGGCAATCCGGCGCTCTTCCTAGTCAGCTGCCCATCTGTTTGCTCCCTGTGCCAAAAAGCCCCCTCCACCATTCTTTAGCCTTCTCAGACTTTCATAGGCAGGTTGATAGGAGGCCATACACTTCCTCATTCACCTTCCTCCTCTTATTCCTCAGGTTCTGGCAGAATGGCTGGCCAGAGTGCTCTTGCCACTGGGCATTTCAAGGTCCAGGTGCAGGAGAGAATCAAGTAGTTACTCCATTTCAGTCTCCCAGAAAACAAAATGATAAATGTTTCTTTTCTTTGGCTCTAGAATAGCACTCTCACAGTCCCTCCTTTCTTTTGGGAAAGCCTGAAAATCATAGGAAATAAGGGCTGGAAGGGACTTCATAAGGTCATCTAGTACAGCCCCTGTTCTACCCTGGACTGCCCCCAACTAAAACATCTGGCCAAGTGTCTGCCCAAACTGCTCTTGAAAATGTCCAAGGATGGAGATTCCATAATTTCTTTAAGTAGCCTGTTCCAATGCTTGGGCACCCTCAGAGTTGGAATATTCCTTCTAATTTCCAACTAAATTTCCTCTGTAGAAGCTTGGAAAAACTTGAGAGGGTCCAGAGAAGAGCCACCTGTATGATCAAGACTTGCAAGACAAGCCATATGAGGAGAGGCTGAGGGACTCGGGCCTCTTCAGCCTACACAAGAGAAGGCTGAGAGGGGACTTGGTAGTAGTGACTTACCACTATATCAGGGGAGTACATCAAGAACTCAGTGAACAGCTGTTCACCAGGGAACCCCTGGAGAAGACCAGGAGCAATGGAATACAAAGTCCTGGAAGGCCACTCCAGGCTCAAGTCCAGGAAAAACAGATTTCTAGGGTCAGAAGGGTCCAACCCCTTGCTCTGGGCAGGAAAGAGCACTGGGGTCAAGTAACCCCAGCCAGGTGCTTGTCTAATCTCCTTTTGAACACCTCTGAGGTAAGCACTGCAATAAGTAAATTAGTATTTGAATTGGAGTGCCACGCAATTCACAGAAGTTACAGAGGGGTGCCATGAGTCTATTATGAGGTACCTTATGCCTAAAAATGTTGAGAACCACTGCCTTAAGTGTTAATTTAGAAATATTGCTTGCAGACAAGCACAAATTGCATTACAAAACAAATAGAGACCTGCAGTAATTGCTCTGAACCCAAGGGATTAATAATGCAGGCAGGCAGTTCATAGGCAGCCAAGCACCTGTCAATCTCTAAGCACTGATGTATCTCATGTTGGAAAAGACACTTAGTGAAATGCTAAGCTAACTGAAAGCGTATGCATGGTATTGATTAAGCTGTGAATCAAAGTAACTTTGTGCTGCTTTATTTCACTGCCTTGTATCTTTCATCAGGCATATTTACATCACAATGTCATTTCTGCATCTGAATCACCACCACTGGCTAGAACTGCAGTCAAGGGGGCAGGCAGGTTCTATAGCAGTCAACCAGGAGGGAAAAGGAATAGCAGAGGATGAGAAAGCGGAGTTTCAGGCCAGTTGCAAGATGACAAGCCATTCTAACGTTGAAGTGACAGCTGTGTGAGAACCCAAGTCTGGCAAACGGTCACCATTCTGGGCACATGGAGAGGTGGGAGTTAAACCTTGCAGAAAAAAATTCTGTTTTTGCCAAAATGGTGGTATTCAACAGGCAAAAAAAAAGCAAAATAAATCCTAGTTCTATTTTACACAGTATATGACACATACTGGATTGTAAATCTACCCTGTTTCTTTAAAACCATCACACTGAACTTCTGTACAGAATCAAACTATGCTTAGGCCCCTGACAACTGGATTATAAAATATGCCATAAAGCTCAATTTTCAGTTAACCTCACAAAAACGTGGCCCAGAATAGGGAGGGTGTTTTTCCTAAAACTGAATCTGAAAACATAGGGTCAGTGTATTTGCAGGCTCAATTCATAGTGTTAACAACACAGTAACACACTTTAACATACTATTGTGCACTGTACTTACCAGCTAAGGTCCTCATGAAGCTGGCATCTGTTGTCAAATCCTCAGGGTGTGCTTCAGGCTCTTGCATGAAAAAAAAAAGAACCTGGCCCTCCACAGAGCTTTTCTCCTGGTTTCCTGTTTCTGAGCTTTTGGTGCCATCTACCTTCAGGCCAGTCTCTCAGAAGGAAACCCTATCCAAGTGAGGACAGCTTTTGGAACACCACTAGCAGTCCTTTGTCTGTTCTTGGCTTTCTTAAGCCTGCCTGAGCTTCTTGCCTTTGTTGTGGCCTTGAACAGAATCCAGGAGTGACCTCTCAGCCATCTGCCAAATTACGTGATCATATATCTGCTTATTATGGAGGGTATTATTCATGGAAGCCTACACTGATCCCTCTCCACAGAGGGCAGGCAAATCCAGTACTCTCAGCACAGCTCCAAGCAAAAGCGCTAGGCACAACGGCTACAATGTTGCTGACAGCAGTGGCATAAAAGCAAAATATATGGCTCCAGGACTGTACAGCCACACATGGACTGATCCTGGCTGCATGCCAACGTTTTAAGATAGCTATCTGGTTAAGACAATTTTTGAACAGTGGAGGGCACCCAGATGAACAGACTGGATAGGTCTCGTTTGCAATATGAGATAGCTGCTGAAGGACTCACAAAGTAGTGCACAATGCACCTAAGCAACACTTATTATGCAATCATTCATTTCAAATTGACCTTAATCCATTTTATAAACAGATTACAGAATTC